AATCAGAGAGGTGTTAGTTACTCTGTCTCTCACTCTCCCTCTGACTCTCCCCATGGAGTCATCCCAATCAGAGAGGTGTTAGTTACTCTGTCTCTCACTCTCCCTCTGACTCTCCCCATGGAGTCATCCCAATCAGAGAGGTGTTAGTTACTCTGTCTCTCACCCTCCCTCTGACTCTCCCGATGAAATCATCCCAATCAGAGAGGTGCTCATCACTGTCCCTTTGACTCTCCTCATGGAGCCCTCTGAGTCTTCCCCCTGTCTCTGCTCTGGTCTTAGTGATGTCAGTACAATGCAATGACACACATTCCTGTGTTTACATAATGACATCACATATAGCTCAGTGGGCTAGTTTTCTCTCCTGATTCTGCAAGTTTTGAATACCAGGAAGTATTTTATCATGTGCATAAAAACCCTGCCTACAGTTGTCTTCTCTGCACTGCCTGTTGTTTACGGTCTGTCTATCTTTCACGCACCCATTCCTGCAAACACTTCTGAAATGCCCAAAGGACAGCTATTACCCATGATGCATGTCTGCAAGGAAATGTTACTAATGTGACCTAATAGATAGTAACCTCATTACCTTAATGTTGAAACAAAAAACCTGCCAGCACACGGATTGCTGCTTAACCGTTGCCCTTGTGTCGGCACCTGTGATAGGGGCCATTAAGATAATTTGTTAGTTGGGCTCCTGCTATTTTCACAGGTTGAAGTTCCTGTGGTTTCAGAACCTTGCAGACAGTAGGTATTTGAACCTAAATTTCACTGTTGTTAAGAGTCTCTGATGCTGCCAGACCTTGTTCATTCTTTAATCCTTATTACCCTCTTACCATATTCTTACCATAAAAGAATGTAAAGTGAGTGTGAATGCCATTGAGTGGCCTATTCCTGAACATAATTTGATTGGAAAGCAATGGAAACTTTGTAATTGTCCCACAAAACTCCAAAGGAGTGCCAACAAATTTGCCAAAAAGAGCCTAAAATAGTGGAGAAACTGATATTTATGAAACAAATGAACTCCTGCTGTGCTGGAAGCTTGTCCTGAAGCACTCAGGGCAAGATTGTCAGCAAGATGTTCTATCTTAATCCATCCATGAGATTTGATAGGTGTCCCTCAGAGGAGCTGCCACCACTGGCCACAGGACCAAGAATAGTGAATAAAATTGGGGTTATAAGGAAGAACCTGTCAGACCTCAGGAGGACATAAAGTGATCTAATTTATATAGGTCAGGGCTGAATGTATCTCCTCACCATACTTCTCCCATGTCCCCTACATTTGCATTTCATTGGGCCCAGCCAAGGTACTTTGCCCTCTATTGTGAGAGCGCCATTCACAAGTGCCTAATGATGGTTGTTATTTGGCTTCTTTTTTTCAGTTTCATTCTCTCCTCAAGACAAATTCATCTTTTATTGTGGCATTTCTGTGTGGTGTTATGCATAAAGCCTTCTTAGTGTCTCCTTCCAGTACACTGTGGGACAGTGACTGATTCAGAAATTCACATGTACACGAAATGCTAG